TACTCACCAAATAATCCAGGAATTCCTGCAGCCGGATGGTTATGGTTTAATTTGGTGGACAGTTCGACGAGTCGGTGAAATGAGTGCATGCCTAAGGAATTTTGAACCCACTTGTACAGATTAATAATGAGGTCGATACAGCTCGATGGCGGTGGGAACCGCACCTGTATCAACCTGCTGACGATTTAGTTTCCAGATTGAGCAGGGTCGCCGGTTCAACTCCGGGTCGAGCCGTGGTAGATAAGTCTATGTTTTCGGGTGCAGTTTCATTTGTCCCTCAATGAAAGGATGGACTCGATTGATTACCCAAGCCCTGAGTGAGTTCCACAAAGCACAGTAGATTGATACTTAGGTATCCAGCATTCAAACTAGGATGATACCGGCTCGATGGCGGTGGGACTCCACCTGCTTAACTTGAGCAAGACGTTTCCGCTTGAGAAGGGTCACCCGTTCGACTCGGGATCGAGCCCCTACCAAAAAGAATCATCATCTTTTTTTCCACCCATTCGGTCAACGAACATCATCCATATATCGCATGTGCATGGCGCAGGAACAGAATCGTGGTCAGTACGGTTCGGTAGCGGTGGGCCTGCACCTGCTTCACTCTCAAGACAGAAGTTTATAGCCAGAGCAGATTCGTCCGTTCAACTCGGGATCGAGCCTTGAACCTTGAGGTATAAATTTTTCTTCCTTTCTGGGCACCAACCAAACCGTGCAGCTACTTCTGCTGCCCAAGGATTGAGGTCAGTTAGGCTTAATGGCTACTTGTGTTTCTGGCTCTTTCTGTGGCAGTGTCTCGAGTTCCATGGGGGCATCGCTTGGACATTGGTGTTTCAAATTCCAAGACGTTACTCGACTCGATTTGGTCCGACCAAAGCAAGGCATCTGTCAGAGGACAGGTATAAAGAATACGAACTAGCTCTGGCTCTGGTTTAAAATTCCCTGATGTTACTGGATTCCAATAAAATCTAAGCCATCGATTTGAGTACACCGAATTGATACCCACGTATCCAATATACAAACTAGGATGATATCGGCTCGATAGCGGTGGGACCGCACCTGCCTCACTTAGCGTAGAAAATCTCAAGTGGAGCGCAGCACGCCCGTTCGACTCGGGATCGAGCCTTGGAGGTGTTTGTCTATTTGTTTTGGGCCAATCTGGCCCCATCTCACTGCCTGCCAAAGTCAGACTCAATTCTGCGGGTCCTACTGATCTTGACAGGCCCCCCTCGCAGACTTGTACGTCTCGGTCTAAGCTACGTTCAAGAGTAGGTTGATACGGCTCGATGGCGGTGGGACCGCACCCGCTTGATGTTTGGTAAGTCTTTCCACTGCGCAGGGTCGGTTCGAGAGCTATTAAGGTTGGATCCGTGGATTTTTTCCCGGGATGATCCTTTTCTTTTTTTCTTCTTTTCGCTCCGGTTTAATTTTCCTTCGTGGGATAGGTCCAAATAGAACCCAAGCCCTGAGTGAATGGATGGGTTTAAGCACACCGAAGTGATACCCAGGTACCCAGGATTCAAAGCCTGGTAACGGCTCGTTGGCGGTGGGGCCGCGGCTGCATCAGAATGTTGCATTCGTGTGGGACACTCGTTCGACTCGGGAGGAATCGAGTCTTTCAAAGTGAAGAAACTAAATTTTCCCTTGGGTACCTGCAGCACCTAAGCATATATTTCTGAACGATTCAGTCTGACTTTGGAAGCCGCGCTCGAATGAAGTGGATGCCTATGGATGACTGTTTTGTCGAATATTTTACCCACTTGTGCAGGTTAATAATGAGGATGATGAGGCTTGATAGCGGTGGGACCGCACCTGCTTCCCTTTACGAGGTTATGGACGGCTTAGGCAGGGACACCCGTTCGACTCGGGATCGAGCCTTGAAGGATTCCCATAGGATTTTTGTTTCGCATTGGGTCAACAAACATCGCATGTGCTCGGCCAGAAACTGAATTGTGGCCGCTTTTACTCGCCGAATAATCCTGAATCCTGCAGCCGAATGTTGGGTCTTACTTCGGTGGACGAGTTTGACGAGTGGTTGAACTGGGTGTAACCCTAATATTTAACCCACTTGTTCAGATTGAGAGTGAGGTCAATACGGCTCGATGGCGGTGAGACCGTACCTGCATCACTTGAGATGGATATCATATATTCGCTTGAGCAGAGTCACCCGTTCGACTCGGGATCGAGCCATTCTCCAGGCAGAGCTTTTTCTTTGGATTTTCTCCCAGTCGCGTCTGCACACGACTCTTAATAATCTAAACAGTGACTTGATTCCTGGTTCTTATTTGAAGGTTTGACCGCGATGAAGTGGTGAAGTTCGCCGCGCGTCTCTGCTTTGCGCATATTTGGCAAGGACCGATGATTATCGGTTGGGAGGTCTGATCCACATTTTCAGCCTTTTGAAAATTTTGTCGGGACTTTGGTATCCAGGCACCTCCAGAATTTTGTCGGGATTCCGGCTCAGACCTCAGCCAAATTTTGTTTTGTCGGGACTTTGGATCAGACCTCAAATTTTGCCAAAAAAGGGCTAAAGAAATCGCGAAAAATCCAATAAAAATTAATCCTCTATGCAATCGTCCTCAGGTAGCTCCAGAATATGAATATTAGCCTTCCCCTTCCTCCGCACCGTATTTAGGCTCTCAACAGCTTTTGACAGCTTTTATGTTTCAATCATCAGCTCCTCAAATACATTGTAAGCGCGAATTCCAATCTCCAAATCCACTCAGTAGTATCCCAGTGGAGCGCTAGCTGCTTGTCTTCCTCTCCATTGTTTAGTATCATGTCGTCCATAGCTTGGAAATAGTTCAGAGTGAGGAGAAGAAACAAATAAAATTGCAGCAAGTTCTGTTAAGTTCCATGAAGAAAGAAATTGTATGGAGTGCAATAATGGCATTGCATACATTGTCTACGATTTACTAAATGGGTTCCAGCCGCCGCATTTTTGCGCACGCCAGAGGTCACCATTCATCAATTACTACTTTCGGCTACAAAGGAATGTCGGGACTTTGGCTGAGACCTTGACCGTGAGAGCAGCCATTGTCGGGACTTTGACTTACACCTTTTCATCGGCTGAGTCCGTTTGTCGGGACTTTGACCCAGACTTTCGTCGACTGGTTTAGAAATTTTGTCGGGACTCAGGATCAGACCTCCCAACCGATAATCATTGGTCCTATTTGGCATCAGAACAGGAACGCGTCGGGCACGTGCTTGGGATGTCGCTTCTTCTCTTGAAATTTCACTCTCGACGTTGTCGACAAGCGAACGCGCAGTGTGCTTAGGACTCGCACATCGGAGGGTGGATGTTTTTATGGGCAGATTACATAGGCGAGGAAGGAGGGCAGGCTGCGCTGCTGCGAGGGCGAAAGACCCCATACTACAAGCCCCAACAACAAAGGTGCAGATTCCGTTCTTTGCCGCTCTCCCTCGCGAAGATGTTCGAATTCCCTTCTTTGCGCACTCCGCCCTTTCTTGGTTCCCTGCGCTCCGAATCTGGCCTTAATTCCGCTGAACACGGCGCCTCTGCTCTTGCTTCCTGATTCCTTTCTTACCCGCCCTCCGAGTCCCGGCCCACCTCCTGCCCACCCGCCCGCCGCCGCCGCCAGCCTTGCGCACCTCTACCTATGTCCCGCAACGGCTGAACCAGTTGCGGCGCCATACGCGCCCAACATCACCAACTCACGCGTCAACACAGCCACGCACAACTTTCTCAAAACTCGATCACATCCGCGCACCGACGTCATCCCGCCTCGTAAATTAACGTTCTGCACAAACACGGCCCAACACCCCAAACGTATAAAGGCCAGCGCGTTTTTGAGTGGGTTCCTCAGAATCCCCCGCTTCTCTTTCTTTCAAACCACCACCTCCACAACCCCACCACTTATATAACCTTACACGATGGACTCACCCAGGTGAGCGTCGTTTCCGTCGTCCCCGTTCCCCGTTGTGCTGCTCGTTGTTGCCCCGTTGTCCCGTCCCGTTCTCCTCGTCGCATTGTTTCATTCCTTCTCCCATCGCCTCTTCCATTTCGTCGTCCTTACGCCGTCACGCATCAACGTTCGTGCTCGTCGTTGGCGGCATCTTCCCCATTCCTCATCGAGTCGCGCTCACTGTTCCATCCTTCCTTCCACCCCGCATCATCTACGTCTCCACTGTTCCTCGCCCTCCCGCCTTCTCACTCTTGATCCATCTTGACTCACGTTTGCAGCCAAACCAACGGCGCTGCCAACAGCATGATGGGTAGCGCGAAAGAGATGGTATGTCGCGCGCTCACTTCTATCCATTTGTTGCGCCCAACTCACGCCTATGCAGGTCGGCGGCGCCGTTGGGTCGAATTCGATGCAGAACGAGGGCAAACAGCAGCACGCCCAGGTGAGATTCTTTTCATGAGCCATCCTTTTGACCCGCGTTGACGACATTCTGTCAGGGAGAGACGGAGAAGAAGACCGCACAGGCCGCGGACGCTGCCGACGGCTTGTATAACCAAGTGGCCGGCAAGGTCAACAATGTGATAGGTTCCATGATGGGTGACCAGAGCAAGGAGGCATCCGGTAAGTTCTACTCTTCCCTTGTTCCTTGCATGTTCCTACTCTTCCATTCCACCCTCCGCGCACGTTTCATCTCTGCCTACTTTGCCATCATGTCCATTGCGCCCACTTGCTTGCCCTTTCATCCGTGCCCTCTTCCACCGGCCTGTCTTGTTCCTTCATTCTCCCACTGACTCGCGTGTCCAGGCAAGGCGCAAGAAATCGCCGGTCAAGCCAAGAAGGAGGCCAACAAGCCTGTTTAGTTTAGTCTTTTATTCTTGTACGATGGCGGCCGGGAGAAGTAAATCAAATTTCTGTTTATCTCTATCTCTTGGATGTGTGATTTCGGCGTTCGAGTCTCGTTCATTGAGCTCCCAAATTCTCAGCGTATTTATTAAGTGAACTTTGCAGCGTATTGAGCTCGATGAAGCTAGATGGCACCCTCTGATCCATCCAACCTCCGTACTCTCTCTCATCGGCTCGGTGGCGCATGGCTGCGCATCTACTGCTGTTAATATGAGGCTGATGAAGTTACGTAGAGACTCCCGTTCGATTCGGGGCTGAGCCATACATTGATTGGAAACTCATTTTTTTTTCTTTCCGTGTTACATCCTGGGTTTGCTCTGAGTCCGTGCGTATGATGTTGTCAGATGATAGCCCAACAAAGGGAATGCAGGAATTGCAATAGTCAGTTCGACGATTTGATTTGGTGGCCAGGGCCCAGCAGTAGTTAGACAATAAAGATGGTGCCTCACGTACCGGCGGAGCAGCGAACGCGAATTTTCGTAGAATATATAGGGCACCTAACTTAAATGTTCTTCCATCTGTTCGCTGGCGCATGGCTGCGCCTCTGCTGTACTTGCTATCTGAGTTGGATTGATGCAGAAGGCCCGGTCGATTCAGGGCTGAGCCATTCGGGAACTGCTTGTCTTTGATTTTTTTTTCTGTGCCGATTGCTTATTCCCACATCTGGTGGACAAGGAGCGTGTCTGAGCGGGATTCACAGCTCAATGGATATAACAAGTCAACGGTACGGCTGTTGACTTGGTTGAATTTCCAACAACCCCGCCGCTCCCAGGGTGAGGGAAATTGTGAGGCAGTTATTCGGCAAAATAACGCCCTGGAAATGACCTATTTTTCGTCGCGGCGTCTATTGAAGCCTGACTGCACAAGACTGATCCAGCATCCTTACGGTAGAAATTCGGACTTACGTACAAGCTTACGCACTCACGGGATCTACGGTCCGCACTCGGTATATAGCTTACGCGTCGCCACGTAACGTTCCTACATCTGTTTGCCTACTTACCCCCACTGTCCGTACCACTAGGCCAAACGTTCTTTGTTACTGCCACCGGGTCCCCCTCCAAGTGTCCAACATTGCCTGTGCATCGTCACTGGTGCTCAAGGCATTTAACCTAGCAGTGATAAACTACCACATCCAGGAAAAATACTCCCAATGGTGAGCCAGCCATGAAGGAATGTCATTCTCAGATAAATATTTGATTAGAGCACATCTGATAACCTAACCCGCGCGCATTCCTTGCTCAAAGAAAGCAAGGCTGCATGCTACGTTTCAGATCTCGATACTGTGATAGCTCTCCTCTCTCAGGCTGCTCAAGGTCTACTTCCATCGCATCCGAATCTAACTGAATGTTTGAATCTCTTCGCCGATGTGTTGATCACCCGCTTCAGCGTCACCGAAGATTTGGATGACGTCCGTAAAGCGATTGGTTTTCGCTGCGGTGCCTCGGTGGTGACATCCGTGATCTCATTGAACCCAATGTGCGTGATATTCGATAGTTTTCTTTAGTAGGGTGGATGATTGATGTCTCAAGCGAACAGAATATCGAATCTAGCCCAAATTCCCCAGCTCCACAAGAACTACTATCGTCTGCCTATCAACTCCTTTCCCAATTCCGAAGATCCCTCGATGCACCAAAGATATCGACGGCAATTTTCTTTTACGAGAAGGCGAAAGCAAAACAAGATATAACACACCCCGATCGCTGGAACACACAGCGCGCGCTAGCGAAGCCCTGCTTACGCGTTATCGAGCAACTGGGAAAGAGAAAGACTTGCACGATGGGACGATGCTCCTGCGCGAACAGCATTTGTTCGAATCTGGCCATCTTGCGACAGTCTGTGCTGCGATTCTGATGCAGCAGGGACCTCGGCCAGTTAGAGAGGTTGCGCTGCTACTTGAAGCTGCAGGATCCGATGATCTTGTTGCACAATCTTTGGCTTGGAAGGGGCTTAGTGCTTTTGCTGGCGAGTCAAGTTCTGGGAGCCACTCGTTGCGTCGTCCACGTCACTCTCCTAAGGAGGAGGATGAAGAAGTCGACGACGGGATTATCGTACCGTCGAACATGGTCCAGAAATTCAGCTCAAACCGTAATCGTAATCAAAATCTCGAAGATATGGCGCTTGCGTTGGAGGATCAGTTTGAAGAGCATGGTCAGATTCGTTCTCTCAACGAGGCCATCAAACTACGCCGAAAGGCATTGCAATCCGCTTCGCGTCGCGCCCGAGATCTGCACCTTGACAGTCTCGCCACTACACTCCAAACTCGATTCGAGGCGGTTGGGGATCAGAACGATATTGACGAAGCGGTTGATCTGCATCGAAAAGCTCTTTCTATTCGCGCTGGTGCACACCACAAGCGTGACATATCCCTCCTGAACCTTGTTAATGCACTCCGTTCACGTTTTGATCGCCTTGGAAATCGAAAAGACATCGATGAGGCTATCGAACTACTTCGAAAATTGGTGGATATGCAGCCTTCACGTCACCTCAATCGTCTCGGATGTCTGAATGGTCTCGCTGTTGCGCTTCAGACCAGATTCGACAATTTCGGTGTTATGAAGGACATGATGGAAGCAATTCAAACATTCCGGGACGCGCTGGCAATACATTCACCAACTGATTCACACCGGGCTAAAAGTCTTAGTGACTTAGCAGCTGCACTTAACACTCGATTCGAGCAGAGTGGTGATGTTGAGGACATGGAAGAAGCCGTCGCTTTGCACCGAGAGGCTCTTTCTATTACTCCCATTGGCCATCCTGATCGAGGCCACGCTCTGAACGGACTCGCCAACTCGATTCTGGCTCATTTCCGGATTTCGGGAGATCCGCAGAAATTGACGAGTCAGTCAAACTACATCGAAAAGCACTTGCCCTTTATTCACCTGATGATCCTGAACGTGGAAGCGTAGTCGATGACTTGGCGAGCGTTATGGACGCGATATGTCCAAGGTAACAATCCTCGCGATATCAACAAATCTGTGGATTTGCATCGCCAAATTCTAGCTTTTTACCCTGATCCTCATACCGGTCGCAGTGGGCGGCTTCATAATCTTGCTGTATCTCTGCAAACCCGATATGAGAATCTCGGAGACCCACATGACATGACTGGGGCAATTGAACTTCATCGAGAAGCATTGCTTCTCCACGCTGTACCTCATCCTGATCGTCCCAAAAGCCTCACAAGTCTCGCAGATGCGTTGAAAACTCGTTTCGATGACATGGGGGATCAAAAGGATATTGATGAATCGATTCGTCTTCATCGGGAATCCATACAACTCCAGCCTTCCGACAAAGTACAAGTGTTTGCTTCTAACAGTCTGGCCAATGCCATTCTCTCTCGGTTTGAACAATGGCGCGATCCACAGGATATCGTCGAAATCATCCAAATTTATCGAGACAGTCTCGCACGTTGTCCTGCTCCAAACCCTGATCGTGGCAGCTGCCTCAATCGCCTCGCAAACGCCCTTTGCACAAGTTTCCACCACGGACACAATAGTCGCCACTTAGAGGAAGCGATATGCCTACATCGGGAGGCTATAGCGGCCTATTCCCCCTCACATACAAATCACGGTTCAGCTCTCAATGATCTTGCCGTAGCCCTTCGAACACGCTTTAAAAAATTGCACAATTTTGAGGATATTGAAGAGGTTATTGAACTTCATCGAACTGCTCTTGCCCTTCGTCCCGTACCCCATCCTGCTCGAGCAAGTTCTCTTAGCAATCTAGCCAAAGCATTGTTTGATCTACATAATGATCTGGAAGACATAGAGGAGGCGATCTCGTTGCACCGTGAAGCTCTGGAACTTCATCCGGCTCCGTATGCAGATCGAGCCCGGTGGCTCAACAGTCTCGCCCAGTGTCTCGAGTCTGCCTATATTCACCAAAAGGATGAGAGGTACTTGCAGGAATCCATGGCGACTTTCAAAGAAGCTGCTACATACTCATCCGCGCCTCCAATTACTCGCTTCCGCTATGCAACTTCTTGGGCAAATATTGCGACCAAGCATCCTCAAACCCAAACATCTGCCCTGGAGGCATATCAAACTGCGATCGTTATACTTCCTCAACTCGCAGCACTGAGCCTAGATGTTCGTTCTCGGCATCAAATTCTTACTGCCACTGCGAGCTCGGCCATTGGTGCAGGAGCTGCGAACTGCGCCATTTCCCTTCGGAATCCCGGACTCGCAGTTGAATTTCTTGAAGCCAGCCGGTCAGTATTTTGGACCCAAGCACTTCGGCTGCGCACTCCTCTGGACAATTTACGAGCTATCAATCCGAAACTTGCCTCGGAATTCTCAAAATTATCCAGGATCTGGAGCAAGCGTCGTTTAGAAATGACAAATTAAGCAACACCGGCGACGTGGCATTACTCGAGGCGGAGGGAGAGCGATGTCGTGACTTAAATGAAAAATGGGCGAGGATTGTGGGCTCGATTCGATCAATGAACGAATTCAAAGATTTCATGCAGCCTCAAGGAATTGCTACGCTCCAAACGGCTGCGCGCCTGGGCCCAATCGTCATCATCAGTACCGGCGAATCTGTGGCTCATGCATTGATCGTTAAACCAAACGGAACCGAAAGTGTACCCTTGCCTCTATTAACCCGAACGAGGACGACATATTTAGTGGACCTAACCCGCGCGTTGACCTCCGATTCTGACTTCGATTTCAAAGAATTCAAAGCAAGTCGTGGAGACAGTGGCCCTGAAGTGCACCGTCTGGGTGGAAAAAAGGAAGTTCTGGATCCTAGAACCAAGGAGGATATATTTCTTGATCTTCTCGGCGCCCTTTGGAATGAAATAGCGAGTCCAGTGATTTCTGCTCTTGGATTGAAGGTTGGGAGTTCCTTGTTCAATGTTCAAATTACTCACCTCAAACTTCCAGAAATCGACAGACCCACAACGTTTGTGGTGGTGCCTCACTGGGCCCTTGAGCTTTCTTCCTGTGCATGCAGCAGGAATAAACTTTGACAACGGGCAATTGGAAGATTGTGTCTCGAACTATGTCATTTCCTCTTACACTCCAACCCTCACCACCTGTTGAATCCTCCGGAAGAACCACTGGAGTCCTTCAAAATGACCACAGTGATAGTCCCGGATGCTCCGAACAATTCCTATTTAGCAGGGGCTCGTATAGAATTGGCTGAAATTGAAAGACGAGTCCCCGAAGAATGGCATACCGTTGTTGGTGAGACGAGTAAGGCCACAGTGGAGGCGACTATAACAGCTCTCGGAAATTGTTCCATTGCACATTTCGCGTGCCATGG